GGTGTAAACTGAATGTCAGATATCCTTGTTCACATGACAGCCGACTCTTGTTAAATCACACGATTATACATATCTCACGGAATCTTTATTCCAAGAGAATATTTATTTTCTTTTTCTTCAAAAAAAAAAAAAAAAAATTGTTTTAATCGTTTCTAACATATTGTCAACCCCCCTCTTCTCTATTTAAATATTTATATTTATATAAAATATAACAAAATAATTAATTTTTTTTCAAAATATATAATTTATATTTACCTAAATTTTAATTTTTTAGAATTTTATTTTTAAATATTAATTAAATAAATATTAAATATTATTTAAATATTAATTATTAAATATTAATATTAATTTTTGTTTCTTTTGTAAAATAATACAATTTTACATATATTGATCGAAATTTGGCAAATTTTTTCAGTTAAATATATACTTTTGTTTATTATTAAAATTTCAATTGCATTTTTAAAAAGCACTTGATATCATGACTTTTGACTGTGTGACACTTGTTTGAGTGAAGTGTTTCGGAGGGTTGAAGGGGGAGGATTCGGCTCCCTTTGACACCCAAAAAAAAAGTCCCGTTGGTTAAGGTCACGTGGAACAAACGAGGCTGTTGAAAGATAAAACCACACAATACGCCACAGGAATCTTTCTAGGAATTTTCGGAAGCTGCTATTCTGATCTATATAGATATATAACACACAATATAATACGAGGAAATACTATCCGAAAATATTTATTTATATTCTAAACATATATATATATATATTTTTTTTTTTTTATGTGACTTCATATAGTTAATGATCATTATCTACAAAACATTTTTTTTTCTATGAGAATGAAAATACATAATTATAGTCAGTAGTTCCAAATAAGAGAATAATATAGATCGTTTTCAAAAAAAAAAAAATCGATAGGCCGGGAAAGATAAATAAAGATATGAAAAATTACCGATACAGAAATCTACCTTACCGACTGATAGTAAAACATTTTTTGGAAAAATAAAAATAATTGCCGACATAGAGATCTACCTTGCCAACTGATGGTAAGCAGATTTCTATGTCGATAATTTTTTATATTTTTCCCCCCCAAAAAAAACAGTTTTACTAGCAGTCGGTAAGGTAGATTTCTATGACGGTAATTTTCATTTTTCAAAAAATTTTTCTATATAACCCAATAAAAAATAAATAAAAATTTAAAAAATTAATAAAAATAAAAAATTTATTGAAATATAAATTTAAAAAACGACTATAATAAAATTTTGATGTATATCAAGTATAATTTTAATATAGCGATTCATTTGTAAAAAGCGTAAAAAATTATATATATATATATATTTGAAAGAGGCGACGATATATTTTTTTTGTGAAAAATTTGATTAAATGAATCTGATGATATAGTTAAAATACGCGCATCTTCTTACATATATCGTAATCATTAGGCTTTATATCAAATCCCTTTACGACTCTACCTGGAACAACGTGGGTCGTCACGCGTGTTCCGTGAAAGAAGCAATTATCCATTTTTTAATTTCCCTTTGACTTGACATGGGATATGGATATGCGCGGATAGAAGTGAGTGTGTTTGATCAGTCCGACCTTGCGCTTATGGTCGTTTTGTCGGTTTTTGCTTTATGGACTTTTTCGAGTTTAGCAACTTCTAGTTTATATATAATATACATTTATATATATATAAGACAAGGGCCACTCTTCCTAGAGCCTGCCACACAAATCATATATCCTCACAAGTCTTCAGTTTATATTAGAGAAACAATATATATATATATACTCTTCGACCTTCGCCTAATTTCTCCTCTTTCTTTCTTTTTCTTTTCCAATTTTTCCCAAGAATCCACCCTCACTTATATTTTTAAACCAAAACGCTTATAATTAAAACAAAAAAAAAAAAAAAACAAAAAAAACAGCCATAATTAGACTTGACCATATTGGATTTCTTATATAGAACTAATAACAAATCTTTCCAATTTTATACACTATTTTTCGGTCTTTTCACAGTTTCTTTCTTCCATGAGATTTATTGATTTTTGGGGAAAAAAAATTTTCTCTCGAGTGTATCCAATTGAAAATTATCTCTCTTTCTTTTTATAAACCATATATAAATTTGTAATAAATATTAACACACTGTGAAACTTTTTAAAAATATATAAAAAAATGTATTTAATTAAAATAATCGTTTATTATTAGAAAATACCTTTTCATTATAATGAGAATGTAAAAATATTTATTTGAATCAAATTAAATTGTATTTAAGGCAGTAATAATTTTTATTCGTATTAAATAAAATACATTTAAAACCAATAATTTGTGTATAGGTATATTATTTGAAATAAATAAAATTTAATTGACTCAAAATAAAAATTATTGTTAAATAAATTTTATTTATTCGAAAAAAATAATTTTATTTGCTCTAATTAAATTTTATTTGATTTAATGAAAAATTTTATTTGCACTGAATAAACTTTTATTTGTGCCAAAAAAAATATTTTTATTTATGATGAATAAAATTTTATTTGCGTGCTAAATAAATATTTTTATTTAAAACAGTGAAAAAAATCATTAGGCTCAAATAAATTTTATTTGCGCTAAATAATAAATTTTTGATTTTTAATCAAAAAATTTATTATTTAAAAATTTTTAAATTTTTTATTTTTAATCAAAAAATTTATTATTTAGCGCAAATAAAATTTATTTGAGCCTAATGACTTTTTCACTGTTTTAAATAAAAATATTTATTTAGCACGCGAATAAAATTTTATTCATCATAAATAAAAATATTTTTTTAGCACGAATAAAAGTTTATTCAGTGCAAATAAAATTTTTCTTTAAATCAAATAAAATTTAATTATAGAGCAAATAAAATAATTTTTTTTCGAACAAATAAAATTTATTTAACAATAATTTTTATTTTATTGAGTCAATTAAATTTTATTTATTTCAAATAATATACCTATATACACAAATTATTGGTTTTTAAATGTATTTTATTTAATACGAATAAAAATTATTACTGCCTTAAATACAATTTAATTTGATTCAAATAAATATTTTTACATTCTCATTATAATGAGAAGGTATTTTTTTAATAATAAACGATTATTTTAATCAAATACATTTTTTTTTTACTTTATTATATATTTTTAAAAAGTTTCACAGTGTGTTAATATTTATTTGATTACAAATAAAAAATTTATTTTGGTTGTAATAAAAATTTTGATTATTAAACAGAAATTTTATTGGCTGTAAATAAAATTTTTTTTCGTTTCTAAATAAATAATTTATAAACTTTTTGTAATTTTATGTTTTAATTTTTTTTTATTTTAATTCAGTAATTGATAAATTCATTATAATAATTGAATTAAATAATCAAATTTTCTTTTAAATTTAGTTATACATAATAAAAAAAATTATTACAAAAAATTTTTTACATCAATTATAATACAGTATTATATTTCAAAAACTTTACGGGATTAAAGAGAAAAAAAAAAATCATACAGTCCTGCGGGTGAAAATTTTCAAAATAGGATTAAGAATGATAAATATTGGCAAAATTGGATTTCCCCCTTAATTTGCGAATAATCCACCGGCTTACAAGTGGTCATTCTAAGAAGAAAAAGAAGACTTTACGGTGTCATAAATTATATTGGCCATTTTGACAAGTTTTCAAATCTTTTACAATTGGGGATTAGTGCGAGTAAAAGCGACTTTTTCTTCTTCAATATATTTCTATGACGACGAAACCCCCCCCCCCCTCCCATGACCGAATAGAAACACCTGAGAAATGGCATGTTCGCGTGTGTTCATTGACAACAAACTTTTTGCGGTTATATCTTTCTTAAAAGGTCCTCTTTTATAGCGAATAATTTGCTTTTACACGGAGATTAAGGGAATATGATTGTTTTATTGGCCCTTAACAAAACATTTGGACAATTGACATTTTAAACATGACAATATGATTTTTCAAAACGAGTTTCAAGGTACAAATAGAAAAATAAAAATCCTTAAAATTTTCCATATTGTTTGCTGCAAACTAATAGAAATTTTATATTTTATACCATTATTGAGATTAAATGGTTTTTCAAACAAATAATTACGATACAATTTCATTGGTATAATAGAAAATTTATTTATTCTTTAAATTAATTTTCAATAAAAAAATATTGAATCAATATTATTGATTAAACTATCTATTAACATAAACATTTTTTTTTATTTCCAAAGAAAAATAAGAATTAAAATAATTTATTTCCGAAAAAAATAAGTTTAGTTAAAAAATATTTAATATAATAATAAAAATTAACTACCTAATTATTAATTTTAAAAAATACTATTTATTCAATTAAATTATTATTAATTATAAAATTAATTTTAAAAATTAATTAATATAATAATAAAAATTAACTATACCTAATTATTAATTTAAAAAAATACTATTTATTCAATTAAATAATTATTAATTATAAAATTAATTTATTAAAATTAATTAATATAATAATAAAAAAGTTAATAATAAATATGTTATAAAAGTCAAATAAAAATTACTTTATTAATTATTAATTATAAATTTAATTAATTAAATAATATAATAATAAACAATTAACAATAAATATGTTATAAATCCACCTAAAATTACTTTATTAACAAAATTCTATTTTTGGATAGAAACATTTTATTTCCAACATTAAATTACTATAAAAAATTTCAATATTTCAATTTTATAAAGAAAAAAAAACATTATTTTACATTATAATTTTTATTTTATTTTTTTATTTTTATGAAGAAATAATAATATTAATTTATTAATAATAATATACTGTTTATTTTTCCATAAACAAAATTAAATAATTTAAAAAGAAAAGTTAAAAATAAATTTAAATTTTACCGCACTTACAAATAAACACCTGCCATTGGATAACCACCTGTCAAATCATACAAAGCAACGTGCCAACTATCGATTGTACGAATATCGATTTAAAAACCGGTTTTCGAGATGTTTTCGATAGCTCAGTGCGGGTAATGATTCGAGACGGTTGACAGAAGTGTGACACACCGTTCGTTTTTTTTTCACTTTGCTTAATGTGTATTAAAATAATTACTGTGTGAATTTGAATCAACTTTAAAAATGTTGGTTTTCTGTGATATTACCAATACCAAACTCGTCACTCTTACATTTTTATTGGTAAGTCAATGATTTATATTATTTTTACACTTGACATTTTACATTGAAAAAAAAAAAAAATCATCACGTCACTCAAGAAAAACTGTCATTGATATCAAATGACACGTTTTTCATCTAATGTTAAGAATATTGTTTAAAAAGTTTTTCAATTTTAACAATTATATTCTATTAATGATAATTTATATGGCCTAATTAATTATCAACTGTTAATGTTTATAGAAAGTAACATAACCTATAAACATCGGCATATAACCTCAAAATCAACACAATTATACAATTATTTACAGTCTACTTATTATAGTAAACGTCATATGTGATAATTTCCATTTTTATTTTATCAGTGAATGTTTTTTTTAAATGTATTTTAAAAATATTTGTGGTAAATTAGAATTGCCAGCTGTTAAGGAAAATTTTTATAAATTGCTATATTGTAATTTATTTTTAATTCTTTTATAAATATATTTCTTTATATTTTGTGTATATATATTGTTTATAATTTCATTTATTGTACCATTAAATAATTTATTTATTTATTTATTTATTAGGTGTCTGTGTGGTGCAATGGTGCAAATGGTGGTGCACTAACACTTACAAAAGAGAATTTTGATATGACAATAGGTAAGAGTGTTTTGAAACTAAAAATTGAAAAACAAAAGAATTTTATATTTTTTGTTTATGATAATAATTTTCTATTGTATAGTATTGTTATATAAATATATCTTTTCTATAATAAGAAAAAACTGATATAATAACATATTACAGTTTTAATTTTTCTTATCAATTTTGTTCTAAGGCCATCTTTTTTAAATCAAGTTTTTTTTTAATAAATATTCATTATTTTGTATTTAAAGTAATAAAAAGATGTTTTTTTATGCTTGTTTAACATTTTGCATATGTATTTTTTTTATTCGTTATCATAAACAAGGAAACTCGTTATCTTTCAACGACAAGGCACGAAAACGTGCTCTAATTTGTTTTTTAACACATTATCGGCGTTTATTTTTAATTATATATATATATGATTTCAATATATTGTGAATGATAAATAAACAATTTTCTTTTTTTTCAGCTTCAAATGAATTAGTGTTTATAAACTTTTATGCAGATTGGTGCCACTTTAGTAATCTATTAAGTCCTACTTTTGACGAGGCAGCTGATAAAATAAAAGAAAAATTTTCTCAATTAGGACAAGTAGTTGTAGGTAAAGTCGACTGCGATAAACAAGGTGGGTAGTTTAAAAATAAAAAATGAGTCTAAAAAATATTTCTAAAAAAGAAAAAATAAAATTATAATATTGAATGGAAGTGATATTTCAAATTATTTTTCTTTTTTATTTCACAGAAACCATTGCGTCTAGGTTTCAAATCACTAAGTATCCCACATTAAAATTGGTAAGAAATGGCCAACCTGTGAAAAGGGAATACAGAGGTCAACGATCAGCGCAAGCATTTCTTGATTTTATTGAAAAACAATTGGAAGATCCAATCAAAGAATTTCATGATTTGAAGGATTTAAGCAATCTTGATAATAAAAAAAGAATGCTGATTGGTTATTTTGATAGAAAAGATGTTCCTCAATATGAAACTTATCGACGAGTTGCTACAAATCTTAAGGATGACTGCCAGTTCCACGTTGGTTTTGGGTAAAATGAAAATTTTCTTTTTTCTAAATAAATTTTTGAAATATTCAAATCAATTGAAATACATAGAGAAATTAAGAAATTCAGTTAAATTAAAATTATATCGCCAGCATTAGAGTTTGAAGAATTTGAATTTTCTAGTTCAACAATAACTTTTTAAATTATTTTTCTTTCACAAGCATTTGCGCCAATGAAAAATGTGATTTAGGACAAGTCTATTTACATTTGTAAGTAGTTATTTAAAAAAAAGCACTACTGCTTCTGCCCACACATAAAAATGTCACGTTTGTGTGTGTGTGTAATATCACTAAAATTCATGTTCTGGTTTTTGGTAGCAAACACTTTTCATAAATTTTGCTTTGTTGTTTTTTTTTTAATTTTTTCCTCATTTTGAATAAAATAATAGCTTTTGCTGGTGTTGAAAAAAAAAAATGTTTCATACTAATATAATTTTAGAGTCAAAAATTTAATTTAAAAATATAAATATAGAAAAAAATTTAACCGTCATTTAATGTTTAAAATATGAAAATTAAAAATATGACTACAATTAAAGAATATAAATGGAGAAAATAATTGTTTTTCGTTATTTTGAAATTTTGATTTTTACTTTTAGAGAAGCAAGTAGGGCCATGCATCCGCCAGGTGAACCAATTATTGTCTTCCGTTCGGATAAAGCTCTTTCCAATGACGAAGATGAGATTTTCAAAGGCAATTTAAATAGTTTCGATGAACTTCATATTTGGGCGCAACAAAAATGTGTACCTCTCGTTAGAGAAATTACTTTTGAAAATGCTGAAGAATTAACGGAAGAGGGTCTACCGTTTTTAATTTTATTCCACGCACCCGATGATGTTGAAAGTATCAAAGAGTACAAAGATAACATTGCAAATACAATGGCGAGCGAGAAGCGTAAGTATAATTAAAAAAAAAAAAAAAAAAAAAAATGCATTTAAATAATAAAACAATTTATTTACAATAAAATTTTCATTTATAGAAAATGTCAATTTTTTGACGGCCGACGGTGTTAAATTTGCACATCCGCTACATCATTTAGGAAAATCAAAAGAAGATTTGCCATTGATTGCAATCGATAGTTTTAAACACATGTATCTATTTTCAAATTTCAAGGACATGCATATACCTGGAAAATTAAAACAATTCCTCGATGATTTACATTCAGGGAAATTACATCGTGAATTTCATTATGGTCCCGATCCTGAACTTGATCCAATGCAATTGATTGCCGATCAAGGAAAAATTCCAACAACGCCGCCTGAATCCACATTTAAAAAACTTGCGCCAAGTAAAAATAGATACACACTACTTCGTGATGAATTGTAAATGGCAAAAAAAAAAAATCAATTTAAAGTCAGTTTTTTTAAAACTTGTACTGTCTTTTTGAAACAAGCAAAAGAAACTGGAAATCTTTTTCCAATTTTTTTAAATCGAAAAATGAAAGTGATGCAATGGAAAGGGCTTTTCGCGATTAAGTAATTTAATATTATTTAAATTAATTAATCGTGATTTGTTAATATTATTTATATATTTTCAATGCCAGTTTTTTTGGACTGCAATGATGAATTATTTTCTCTTTTTTTTTCTGCAGATTTTATTAATGTCTGCATTTTATTAAACATTTACAGTCCATCGAGTGTCGATATATATTATTAATAAGTAAACTCGACACAAATGTATAAAGGTATAAATTATAAATTGTAAAAAAAAAAAAATAATTAGTTTGTCCTAGTGCCTCGTTTTAGAGCCGATTGACTAAGGTGAATGAATCGAGAAGGAAGTATATTTCCTTAATTGTGATTTATTTTCCTTTATTAGCTTACATATATAAATATATTTGTATAATCAAATTCCATTTATTGAGAAACAATAATCTGCCAATTTTTTTCCACTTTTCTTTTTATATACATAAATTAAGTCTTCATTAAAGACAAAAAGGACTTAATTTAAATATAATTTATAGAAATTGTTTTAAAAATAAAAAAAAAGAACATTTGGATATTTGAAGGATATTTTCTTCGTAAAAATTTTCTCCATAAAAAAAACAAAAACAAAATTTCCTCGGAATATTAAAAAAAAAATTTTTCGTAGAAAATTTTCTTCATAAAACTAAAAAAAATATTTTCAACGTTAATAATTATTGTTATTGATTAGTTTAATATTGTTTACTGATTTTTTTTTTCTACAAGTTACTGTTATACATTTTAAGCTCAACATTTTTTAATGGAAAATTTACTTTTGTTGAGGAGCATTTGGAATAAAGTTGATAAATTTTTTTCAAATTGATTTTTATATAAATTTTTTTTTTCAAATGGAAAAAGATGAAAACATTTTTTTGTACGCTCCTCAATTTTAAACAAGAGTTTAATAATTTAATTTTTCTTAGAATTTTAATATAAAAGTTGTAATAATAATTTATATATATATATATATATATAATTGAAGCACAATATGCATTTTTTGTGAATAACACAGGAGATTTTTTTTTTTTTTTTTTGTCATTGGTTTTGGAAAATTATCTTCTCTATAGAAAAAAATTACGAAAAAAAAGTGTGTTGTGTGGAAGTAAATTTTTTGAAGTGATAGGGTGTGGGTTTTCTTTCTCAGGGGGTGTATTTTATAGAGACCATTCCATTGGTAGCATAATTAGAATCTAAAAAAAAAAAAAAATTAAAGAAACAAATCGAACTTTGCAATCGATGTATTGGTACTCGTGTAAACTATTGTATGCGTGAACGATGGTATTATATTTATGTTAATAAACACTTTCTAAGTCAGTGATTCATACGAAAGTGTTGCTTCTCTTTTTTTTCATCGAATATCCTCGATAATTAATTTTATAGACAACTTTTTTTTTAATTTTCTTTTTATTATATATTTTAATAATTTTTTTTTTTAGAACGAATATTGTAACGTTTGTCAGAATGTTTCAGGAAGAAAATTTTCAAGAGATTTTTCCAGCTCACGAAGAAATTAGAATAGAATGAGTTAATTAGATGCACATGAGATAAATAAAGGAGACCAGGGAATTTTAAGCAGGAAGTAAGGAGAAACTTGACGATCCCCATTTTGATTGAGAAATCACAAAAAAAAATCACTGTTCCACTGTTTGGATACGAATAATTTGCGGATGCGTGACTTAGTATCGTTTAGATCTCATTTTTATTATGCAATCCAATTGTAGGAGATCAATCTTCAACACAAAAGAAAAGGTAAGGAGTAACGTTAATGTGTTTATTATTGAGTGATCAAATTTTTTTTCTTGTTTAATAATTTGCATTCAAATAAAAATTTCTCAGTAAATTTAAGAAATAATTTCAAATAAAAAATGAAATTATTTTTTCTATAGTATTTTGAAAATATTTTTGTAAATTCTTTTTTTTAATTAAAAAAAAAAAATGGATTGTCATGATCGTGTCCTTATATGTATGTGGTATAAACGATAGACAATATTTCAGAAACTTTTGTAAGAAGAAAGATGTGTAGGTTGGTGACCTTTCACTGTACTCTTGCAAAGAGGCTATAATGCCAAGGATGATACCAAAGAATACATATTATCTTCTTTATTTGAAAACATTTATTTCTTTTACTTATTTGCATTAGTGTTTTATCGATTATATCAATTTGTATTAAATTCCTTTTATTATAAACTTAATGGAAAACTGAAATTTTCAAAAATTTGTCAACTTTAATATAAACTTTTATTTAAAATTTCTCATCTTCTTTGAACTCGTTTCCTTGTTTTTAATTTCCTTTCTATTTATTACATATTTATTTTTTGAATATTATAAATTTTGGAATTTTATTTCAAAATTATTAATTTTGCGAATAAATAAAAATAAAAGAATCATTTGATTTTGAAGGATATGGAAAATAATGAATAAAACTCCTTGAACTGATTGAAAAAAAATAATAATAATAATAGCGCTCCAGATTCACTGAACTATTATTGTAATCTTAACATTCCTTTTCTATAAAATAATAATTTCATTCTATATCGAATGACAAATTAGCAATGAAGTTTGAATTTAAAATGATAAATAAATTTTATTCCTTTCACATGGAATTCTTGACGTTTTGGTGTCGTTGAACCGATCAGTAGCTATTTATTATTCATTGACAATGGAGTGATTTTATTTCGAATGCAAAATTTCTAAGGGATTCGAACTTTAAAGTACAAGTACACATATTATAATAGAAAAAAAGAAGAGGTGAATCGTCCTCTTCATCCTTCTCACTTTCACTTTTTACTCATCTCATCGACTTAAAGGTTCTCTCGACCTCATACCCATTTTATATCCTCAGTTTTGAATTGTTCTTATATCGTGAACTTGATTTTTCCTCCTCGGTCATCATCATGCATCAATTTTTTATTTTTTATCTCGTGTGTCCCTTGATTTTATCGCCAATATTCGCACGTGAAACATTTGTGAGTAGAATATGAAATTTTTATTTTTAAATTGTTTCTGAAATATATATTTTTTTTTTACAGAACACAATGCCACCTCCTGTAGTGACAAATTTCACATGTCGTGGCCGTGAAATGGGATTTTATGCCGATTTAGAAATGAATTGTCGTGTTTATCACAATTGTGACGATCATGGAAATAAATTCACTTATTATTGTCCAATAGATACGGCATTTCGTCAAGAGGCAATGGTATGTGATCATGCACATTTAGTCAAATGTCAAAGTGTCGATGACAATCCACCCGACAAAAGTGACGAACAATTAATTAATATTCGACAATCATTTCGAAATTCATCGCCAACAAATGATAGAAAAAATGCAGGATTCTCACGTTCTTTTCGCATTGGACAAGATTATACATCCGCGAATTCAGTGAAAAATAAAAATCCCACATTCACTCTTAATTCAAGTGTATTTCTTCGAAATCGAAGTGATATTGTGAAAAAATCATCATCATCAATGACAAGTACCAAGAATTTTAATTTTATCACAACAAAATCACCAGCAATGAATTTTGCAAAAAAAAAAGAATTCACCACAACTATTCGACCATTATCTTCCAATAATCGTAATACAAATTTTGATTTTCTTCAAGCTCCGCCAAAAATTGCTGAGAAATCAATTGAAAATCGAAATTTTTTCATAAATCGCGATGAAGTGTTTCCTAAATCAAAAAGTCGTCCTCTAATGTTTCTTGAACCGCCTTTTATCAATAACGGTGTAAAAACCACAAATTCTTACGAATTTACAACAAAATTGCCATTTAATTTTGCCAATAATAATTATCCCTATATGGAAACATTACGTTCAATTCAACGTGAATCAAGAACAGAGTCATCATTTTTCTCAACAACAACAAAAAGATCAGTGACTACAAAATCATCACCAAAAACTGTCACAGAAATTCCATTTACCATTTTCACAGCTTCATTAAAACCATTAATACCAAATGAAGTTGAATATGATCCATATTATCCAAAATTTCCAACATCAACGGAAATTCATTATACACTCAAGGATACGAATCGTAATATTAAACCATCAAAATTATCAACAAAAAAACCGCCAACTGATTTACATTTGAGAATACCGTCAATACTTCCCGATTTAAATAGTTTAGAAGATTTGGTTGATCGAAGGAAGATTTTTTACATTCCAAAATCAAGATCAAATTGAAAAATCTATTTTTCATTATATTTATTAAATTTTAATATTTAATAAAAAAAAAAAAATTCAAAAGAATTCGTTATTTTTGGAAAAAAAAAGAATTGTTAAAAAGTGTTTAAAAACAAGGATTACCCATATTTGAATTGTAGAATACTCGCGCGGCAATTTGAGAAATTTAAATTACCTGTCACAAAGGAGGAGAGCTTATTTTAGAGATAAAGTGTGAAGAAACTTTATTAAATATAAAGTTCAGTCATAGTGTGATTATGCAAATATCGTGCAGCCATTTAATATAATCAACGAGAACATCTCTGGTTTCATTGCTTTTCAATGTAAATGAATTTTTATCTCAACAAAAAAAATTATGATTTATTTCCATTTGAAGTTTAATATCTTTTTTCTTTACCAAACAAATTTAGATCGTTTTTTTTTAATATGAAAAAATAAGATTTTTTATTGAAAATTCACAAACACAATTTCGAGAAAAAGAACAATTTTTTTATTATTAATTTTCGATTAACTATTGCACCATTCACAGCTTCCTTCACAATCAAAGTTTTGTCTAAAAATAAAATTGTTTTTAGATTTTTTTTTTTGTTTTACATTAAAATACTGGTTTTTGAATCGAAAAAAAAACTGTTTTTTCAATGCAAAAAAATGCATTAAATCACTTACGATTTATTTTTTAATGCCGACATTTTTGAATTTTTTGATATATTGTTACAAGAAACAGGACGTATTTCAGATACGCCTTCAGTAAAATATCCACAACCGCAAGAGCAGAGCTATAAAGAAATATTTTATTGACGTACATTATATTGCATAAGATATATTACCTATATGGAAAATCGTTTTGTGAAAAAAAAAACAAAAGAAAAAACTACCTTTCTTTTTCTATATCTTAAATTACAATGCACATTTCGTATTAATTTTAATATATTATTATTTTTTTCCTATTTTAAAAAAAAAATCGTTTATTTGAAAATAAATAAATTTGAAATAAAATTTAAAAATAAATATAGAATTCAAAAAAAGAATTGAAGAGAAAACAGTAAAAATTTATTATTATATATAGAAAACCTATGTTTTAGTTAAACGTTGCGTGTGTAATGCGCATCAGTGGAAAATCGTTTTGCTTAGAAATAATTTTAATAGTATGGCAATTTTTTTGCAATTATTGAAAGAGAATATAATTGCAAAATAATATCATTTATTTTCACTAAACTTACCATTTCTGTACTTGTCGCAGGGCTAGATAAATTATTCGAACAATGTGCATTTTCAATTTTTAATTTTTGTTTTATTTCTTTTTCTGATTTCTTCGCTTTTCCATCGTGATCTTTAAGAAGATTCAATTATTCACTAAATTAATTTTTTAAGTACAAAAAAAAATGAAATTGTAAAATTGAGACCTTACTTTGAGTTGTTATTTCATTTCGACTTTCGGAACAAGTTCTATTTTTTTCTAAAACTGTATAATTTAATTTTTCTCTCCAGGCTTGCGAACACTGACAGCCAGTTTTTTTATTAAAACTTGTCCTTTTTCCTGACGGCAAACATTCATTACAAGCTGTTGTAATTTTTTCCATTTTACAATTAACATTTTCTTCAATAATAATTTTATCTTTCGATTTTATACTTTTTGGCATTGTTTTCAATTCTTTTTCAGTTTTTCCCGGTGAACATGGTTTACAAATTTTTCTTTCAAATTTTCCCACCTCTTTCACTTTTACAGTTATTAATAAATTATCAGCAGATTTTTTATTTGATTCATCGTCTGTTTTTTTTTATTTCAATAAAATTAATTAGAAAAATGATAAAAAAATTGAAAAAAAATTTAATGAGGAAAAAAAAGCCGTACTTTTGGATATTATATATTCTGTCATTTCGGAACATGTTAGTGGTTTTTCCGGTTTCTCGCAATTTATTTGATTCTTTTCAATTATTTGAAATTGAGGTGATAATTCTAAAAAAGATAATTATAAAGCAAATTTTTTATTTTAGTGAAAAAAAAAATTAGAAGGAATATTTTGAAATCCCCTCGATTTATTTTGAAACAATAGATCGTTATTTATTTATGAATGACTTAAAAGTAAATACTTTGCAAGAATCATTTGTATAATTTATGTTAATATCTCACCTTTTATTTCTTCTCTGCAACTCTCGTCTTTTGAATCTCGAGGCTCCTGAATTATTTATTTTCGATTTTTAAATTATAATTTTTCTATTTATGGAAAAATAAATAAAAATAATTTTTGTTTACTTACTAAATCCATGCGAAATGATGATTCAATATATTTTTTTTCTTTAACAAATTTTTTTAAATTCCTTTTTCTACTTGTCTCTCGTTTAGAAGCTAATTTACATTCATCGGTTTTAATTTCTTTTCCATTTTTGTCAATTGAACATTTACAATTTTGACATTTTAAATTTGTCAAATCATTTTTGTCATTGCAATTAATAAATGATTTATTAGGTAAATTTGCATCAGGAATTATTAAATTTTCTAAATAATCTTTTTTTCTATTCAATCGATTGTACAAAATTGAAACCGAAGGTTTTGTATTATTTTTATATTCCAATTTTTGATTAATGCAAATTTCTTCATTAGTTTCACATGAATTTTCATTATTTTGACAATGTTTATCTTCTTTTTGATCATTGGATTCTATTGGAATTTTTTTCTCAACTAAATTTATTTGACTGTCCCATATTTGTGAACATGAACAATTTTCTTTGCACTTATCGCACATCCATTGTCCATTTGAGGCAATAAAATCGGGACCCCAATCATTGCAGGAGCAAGCCATCTTTCATTTTTTTTTTTTTTTAAATAGAATATTAATTTTTTATATAAAATTATTATAAACTCTTACTTGAAAATCAACAGTTGAGTCACATTTCACTTTTATTGTTTTTTTCAATTCCTTCACTTTTAAAATTGTTTCCTCTATTGGCTCGATAAGATGACACAAATCGTTTGCCTGAATCACAAGAAAACAATAAATAAAAATATTAACCGGTTTTGAAATTAATTGTATAAAATAATTAATTAATTCAATATATTTAAATTAATTATTAAAAGGAAACAAAAATGTGTAAAGTACTTTTGCTTTTCGTAAAATTTCTTCAAAATATTCAATTAAATTGTTCAGAATATTTGATACTCTTTCAGTTTTCATTGGATTAATGAAATTTTTTATTCAAATATAAAAAATCATGTGAATTTTGCGGAATATGGATATTTTTCACTCATTTTGAAAAATTAAATAGTAAAATTTCTGAAAATTGAGAAATTCTAAATTAATAATAAAATAAATAATTTAGTTTTTAATTATTTATTATCGAATATTTTAATATTCAAGAATAAAATGTTAAAGAAGAATTTCTTACTTCATAAAACTTGGAATTTTTATTTTAAAATTAATTACAATTTACTGGTTATCTATTTATAATAATTATGTATAATTAATTTAAGAGTGTGAAAATAATTTACAGACACTAAAATGAAATTAACATTGATATAATCATTGATTACTTTATAAATTACTTCAGTATATAGTGAAAGTCATAATATTGGAAAAAAAAAAGTATAGAAATACACGTGGAACATAATTTAATTTAATTACCAGTCATAATTTTCATTGTAAATATGCGCGTCAAGTATTATATAATAATTAATATTCTCTTAGTAAATCTACTTTTATTCCACGAAAGTTATTTCTTCTGCAAATGGAAATAAAAATTTATAACAAAATTCCAAGCAAGTAATTAATCTATTAATTAACAAAATTGAAAAATTAAATTCTTATTTTTTTTTTTATTATTCTCCATTGTGTTTATTTTGATGTCATATTTTTTTTTTTTGGTTAAAATAAATTATGTTCCATTAATGACGTTTCGTAACAAAAAAAAATTACAGATAAATTCAGAGTAATTAAAAAAGTTTTGCGACACTTTTGTGTCAAAATTTCTCGGTAATAAAATAATTGAAGTAAATTTTGAGTGAAAAATTACATATACATAAAATGTCAGATAATAAATCATCGTCTTCATTAATAGATGATAAAAGTAAAAAAGAGAGTTGTTGGAAAACGATTCTTAGTCATTATGAAAAAAGAAACGCTTCTCTGGAAAGGCGCCAAGCTGCTTTAATGGAAAGAGTTCGTTTTATGGAGTGCGCACTGCCAACTTTATTAATGCAAGCCGTCGTTGCTAATAAATGCCCCACAGAGACGAAAAATTGTAAAAAAAAAAAAGAATAATTAAATAATTAGAAAATTTTTTTATCCCTCCTCAGGGACAAAAGACTTGATAAATTCAAATTTAATTATTTATACTTGAATTTTAAATGTTTTATCTCATAAAGTTTCTGAAAAATTTACAAATGAAAAAAGGTATAAATAAAATTAGTTTTAACATTAATTTTATGTAATTTGTTTTTTTTTTATTATATATATACGTATATATATATATATATATATATATATATATATATATATATATATATATGCAAATATTACATTATTCGACGGCTTAATTCCAAGGTGTTCGTATTTACTTATAAACTACAAAGAAATTCTAATTTCTTAAATAATATTAATAATGATATTAAAACAATAATAATAATTATAATAATAATAATGATAATAGAAACATTGATTATAATATAATCGGAAGTAAAACTATCAAAGACTTTTAGTCATTTTTTTACAATAACAATATACATGTGAAAAATAAAAGATTCTAAAGGGCAACTTAAAATAATTACGAATTAATCGACTAGAGGCATCAGCTAAATTCTAACTCATGTCGTATACGCAATATTACACTCGGCAGCTTTTTTTTTACACATATTTTATATATTATAAATCTCAATTTTTCTACGTTGAAAAATTAATTAAAAAGGAAAAAAACAAGTTTTTAATTAGAAAATGAATTGATGGAAGCATCATTATTTAAAAAAAAAAATAATTATAATTGTTACTAAAACTTAAAAAAAAAACCATTTTTAATAGAGTTATAAAAACAATTCTCAATCTTGAATAATTAATTTAAAAGTGAATTTCGAAAATTCATTCAAATTTAATTTTTAAATTGAGATTTCGATTAAACAATTTTATCAAATTTTTAAAAATGTTTACCATTTTTTTTCTGTGTTATAATTAGTTAACCAGACATTAAAAATACAATTAATCAAGATTGAGAGAATGATTATCTGATTTAGGAATAAAACAATAGCAAAAATATGGAAATTCATTATAGAATCGTAAGATAAATTGTGATAATTATTAAACATATTTTAAAGCTGCAATGATGTTCTTAATTTTTTTTTTTTTTTTTTTTTTTTTTTTTTTGATTCGGTATTGTAAAGTATTGTCGATTTAAAAAAAAAGAAAGAAAAAAAACGACTTTCTCTTAAATAAGCAGATTCGTATCTTAAGAATCACAGTTTCGTCATTTACATACGATCAGGTTGCTACAAGCGAATACTCTTCTTGGTACTTAAATTTTAATTGGAAAAAGTCTATATATTTATATGGCTTTTTCTCGAGAGAAATTAAACATTATTCGAATTTTTCAATTTCTTTGATTTATTTGCAATTTTTTTTTTCTTTTTAATTATTTTTACTATATCTTTATTTTTTTTTGTACAATTATTGGATGTTTATTTAATTTTTTTTTTGATTTTAAATGAAATTTTTCTTTTTTAAATAAGAAAATTTTTTTGCAAAGTTATAAATTGAAAAATGATTAGTTTCTCTCGTATTTTGGAAGCACCCGACACTTATTCTAGATTTTTTCTTTTGTTACACATATGTAAAACGTCCAGAGACGAATCATTACAAGAAACACATAAGGCACTTCAAATTTTTATAATTTATTTACGTCTGTCAAACGCATTTCAAATTGAATGCGTTGCCAGAAGGAAATTTTTTTTGTGTGAATTTTTACAGATGTTTTTTTTTTAATTTTACGGTAGGACGTATACCATTTCTGGTCATCACTTGGGCTCACCAAGCAGCGCCAGCTAATTTGTCCTAGAAAAAAAAATTCGAATCTCAAAATTATTCGAGTTTTTTTTTTTTTTAATTTATAAATTAAATTTTAAAAAAATTTTAAACAATAATTCGAATAATTAGTTGTAACTAATTTACAGCCTCAAAATTGTTTTTCAGTTAAATAGTGAAGTTGCGTACCTCATCGGATGCTTCAGAACAACGGTTCCTTTCGAGTTGGACATTTTTTTTTTTTTTTTTTTTTTATTTTTTGTCAAGCTTGCTGCATTCGTAAAGCCATCAATTTGACTAAATGGTACCGTGGGGAAGAAAATTGGACCTTCACCTCCACCGAAAGTAGATTACTTGCTGCGAAAAAAAAATTCACGTTTCATTAATGAACAAAAATAAAGTAATGATATTAAAATTATTCACATTTAATCGAAAATTTTAATTATATTATTTATTTTAGAAATCATGAAAAATTACCACTTGTTAGAATTAAGTTATTTAAAAAAAAAAAAAATTTAGCGAATGTTTGCAAAATTCTCATTTTTTTGAAAAAAAGAGAATTTTAAAGAAATATTTTTTACAAGTAACTATCACAGAAGTTGTAATTTTTTTTCATCGGTGATTTTCTTTAATTACACTATGAACTGTTAATTGTTTCTAAATTTTGTCAATTATTCCATTTGCATACGAAAATCGTTTAAAAAAAAGAAAATCGCTTCCCAAGAGAGAGTTAACGAGGCGCTTGTTATTTTTTTTTGAAAGCAATAATCCAAAATTGGATTTTTCAGATATTAATGAAGCACCAACACCAAATTACAAGCATTTGCCGAGGATATATTAAAATTTGAAAATAACTACAGAGAAACTAAACTACACGGATTAATCTACTCGGTGGATTTTTGTTTTTTGGTCCAAATAATATTATCGCGAAAAAAAAAACACTGAAATTTAGTGTTTCGAAAAAAAGAGACGTTTCATTAATGATTAAAAGCTGTTGTTTTAACGAAAAATCGCAAGAGATCCTTGAAGAAATACGAAGACGATTGCTGTGAAAGAAAATAATTATATTTTACACTCAAGTAGTTTTTTTCTCCTCAAAATTTTTGTTTATAGAATTGAATTAGCTTTTAGTTGCTAAAAAAAATTGAATATGAAAATAAATACTCGAGTTAAGTATAATGAATTTCTTTCAATTTTCGATTTTTTAAAATGAAAATAGCGTCTGGGGTTTTTTTTTTTTTGCTTTTTGGTCTACAAGGGACTACTTAGACTGACCTGGGGCCAGATTTGAATCATCAAGAAGCACGTTCTCACTCAGTCTTGTTGTCCATCCCACGAAACTCGTCGAAGTTGGCCTTCCTTCTCGTTTGCATGCTTTACAACTTCCGAAACAGTTACATTAGTTCATTTACAATGTCGCTTGATTCACTCCAAATATATATATATTATATATAAATTCAAGTCCCGATAATCGATAACTATAATCGAGACACAAAAAATCTTGATGATAAAAAAAAATCAAAAAAAAATATATTTTCATCACTGATTTTCTGTTTTATATATATAAATACGGACTAATGGAACAAAATGGCTAAACACAAATTTCCTGATATAAAATTAGTCGCCGATTTCGAACACCGAGGTTGTCCCGCTCAAAGCTGCCGACCCTTTTCTTATTTCTCATCACCCTAACATCACTTTCTTTGTATCTAACCTTCTTGTCCGGATCTGTTTCGTCAATGGTTATTTGTGGTTCCTCCTGATCCACATCAGAAGCTAAAGTCACCTGTGACACGGCGCCTTTTCTTTCGACAATTGTTCTCGATAATTTATTCATCTTCATTTCTTCTTTGACATCTTCCATCGATGATTGTGGAGAAAAATTGTCCTGGGAGGAAACATTTTTTTTTTTAAATTAAATTATTGATTACAATTTTTTTGTTTAAAAACTTACCCGAGATTTGTCTGACGATTCAGCTTGACATCGTAAATCATCAGTCTTGAGAGTTTTAGATTTTTCATCATCAACAATCATTCTCTCGATTCCATCGGCAACATCCAATGAATCAAGAGCACCACTCAATCGACCGACTAATTTTTCAATATACTCCGTTTCAGTGGAATAAACACCTGGACTTATTTTATTTAGTGCTGATAAATGTTCGAGAAAAACACGATTCAATTGTGTCTGCGCTTGCAATCGTTCCTGCATTTCCTCATATTTTCTTTTATAATCCATCTCAACACTTGACCACGTTGTATCAGCCTGTTTAAGTGTCTCAATAAACGCACGTTCTCTACGTTCCAAAACTATGATTTGTTGCCTTAAAATATATTCCGTTTGTCCCAAATGTTCAATTCTCGATTCAAAATTCTTCAAAAGATTACAACACTCCAGACAACATTCTTTTGACAATAAAGAAGAATTATTTTCCAAATTTTCATTCTCTCCATTCCATTGCGATGTGAAATCAATGCCAATTTTCATATCCACCATTGTTTCACGACTAATCATTTTTGGAATATTACGCATTTTATTTTCGAGCCAATAAATTTTTTCCGTCAATTTATAATTCTCATCGAGTAATTCCTCGTCACGTTGTTTTGATAATTGTTGTTCATGAAGAAATTTCACTTCAGCATCCTCGTGATTTTGTAATCTTGTCTCAAGATCGTGTATTCTATCTTGATAGATGGCAATTTGTGCAATGTCAACTGTTGTCGTTTCAGTGACTTCGGGTGTTGAACAAGTTTTTATTGTATCATTCACAGATGAAACGGGAACTTTAACAGCACGTTCTTGAATTCGTGCTCGCAATTCTTGAAGACGTTGAACTTCCTGTAATAATTCACCGGCAGGTGCTTCTGTTTGTGTACCACAATTTGTTACCTCAACAACATCAATATTATGATCATTGTCATCGTCATCCTCAAAAATTCCACTTTCCTGAAGTGATAATGGTGGTTTTTGAGGTACCGGCGACACTGGCTGATGGGTCAACGTTGAAGTATATGGAATCACAGTTGCCACTGCACGATCCTTGTGTTTATTTGATTGGTCCTGTAAAATTAAAATCAAATTATTTAATGCATTAAAAATAATTATTTATTACTAGCAAAATTAAACGCGCGCCAAATTGAGTATTTAATTGTTTGTTATAAAGAAATTAAAGATTAATAATATCAATAATAATTTAATTTATTAGAATATTATTACATATTAAATGATAATAATGAAAATTATACAGGCCTCGGATTATACGACTTTTTCCGACTTTTTTCAAAAATACGACTTTTATCGACTTATTTTAATAAAATGTGACATTTTTTTTTACATTTGAAAAAAAATGTAAATAAAATCCATTTTTTTAGTATAAAATGTAGATCTTCTTCAATTCAATTATTTAACAAATTTTGAACTAAAATGATTTTTCACTAAATTAATTATTTTTAATAATTTTAATGAAATACATCACAAATTCAATTATATTAAAATTATTTTTCAATTAAAATTTTTATGAAATTTAACAATTGTTTATAATTTAAAAAAAAAATATCACAATAAAATTGAATTATTTTTTAAAAATTTCAATTCAAAATAAACATTATTACCCGAAATTTTAATTCAAAATAAATTAAAAATCCAATAATTATCCAAAAAATTTTCAATTTCAAATTTAATTATTTATCAAGTTTTCAATTTAAAATGAAATAAAATTCAATTATTTTCTAAAATTTCTATTCAAAATTAATTATCCAAATTTTCAATCAAAAATAAACTTAAATTAAATTAAAAAAATTAAAAAAAAAAATATCACAATCAAATTGAATTATTTTTTAAAACTTTCAATTCAAAATAAACATTATTACCCGAAATTTTAATTCAAAATCAATTAAAAATCCAATAATTATCCAAAATTTTCAATTTCAAATTTAATTATTTATCAAGTTTTCAATTTAAAATGAAATAAAATTCAATTATTTTCTAAAATTTCTATTCAAAATTAATTATCCAAATTTTCAATCAAAAATGAACTTAAATTAAATTATTATCCAAAATTTCAATTAAAATTCAATTATTTTCCAAAATTTTCAATTCAAAATGAACTGAAATTCAATTATTTTCCAAAATTTCAATTAAATAAAATTTAATTATTTCTAAAATTTTACATAGAAAATTTTTTTTTTTTGAAATTTAATAATTTCAATTATAACTCTAAGGAAATTCAATTATTTTTAACTATTTTTAATAATATTCTTTGAAATTTCAACTATCTAAAAACATTTTTCAATTAAAAATGATTTTCAAATTATTGTATTGTGTCCGCATTTTCTAATAAATTTTTAGTGAAATCATCTAAAATTTTAATTACAAAACACTTAATGTTTCAATTAATTTCAAAAATCTCAATTTTAAATCTTTGAAAATTCAATTAAATTTAAAAAATGTTTTACAAAAATTGTTTGATAAATTATTTTTAGTTCTGTAAAATTTAATAATTGTTTGAAAATTAACAATATCTTTTGAAATTTATAATTATTTCTAAAAATTTCAACTTTAACCCTTCGAAAAGGATTATTATTAAAAAAAAAAAATTTTTTTTTTTAAAAATCTGTAAAATATTTTTATTAAAATAAAAAACAAATCCACTTTTTTTTGGAATATAAATCGACAAAAAACAACTTTTTGTGTCTTTAAGTTGATTCGAGGCCTGTGATTTTATAATTAATATTTAATAGGTATTCGTTGGCCCCTGGTACCTTAAAAATTAATTTTTAAAAATAAATTTTTTTCAAATTACTATCTTGTACGAAATTTCCTGTCGCATCTTTTTTCTCATTATAAATTTTTTGTACAATTTTTGAATCAATATACAACTTTAAAAAAAATTTCGTTGGTAAACGTTGTGTACTTCAGCTTCGTGAATTGAATTTTCGAATTTGGAATTTTAAAGAAACTTATTCCGAAATTTGGAAACACAATTATACAACTTTGGCAAAAATGAGAAAAAGAATTGTCAAAATTTGACACGTCATAAGATTACTATTCAAAAAAAACACGTGAAATCAGAAAAGGCCAAGTTCAAGTTAGGACAGAAGGACAGACGAAGCATTTTATTATTATATAATTTTAATTTTGCATTTCTTTTATTATTTATTATTAATTATTTAATTAAAGAACTTTATTATTATTTTAATTTTTTTTTTTTTGACAAATATTAAAAATTAACTGTAGCGAAAAAAATTAGTTTTAAAAAATTGTACGTAAACAGCACGACCCCCCAGGTTTGTAGTTGTTTAATTCGACCGTTAATCTTCTTAAAGCTATATATATATAAAGAAAAATACCGGTTTTTGACGGCAATTCCAAAGCAGACGGCAAAACTATCGTGATTTTTAGAAATAAAAGAGCAAAATACGCGGCTTATCGTGGGAATCATTAAGTCATATAATCGGATATTTAGAGGAAGAATAAAAAAAGTAAATAACTTGAAAAGTCGTATTTATAAAACTTTCCATAAACGCAACAGGAACGATAAGGAAGATCTTTGACTTTTTTTTTTTTATGGTCTTCTATACGTGAACACTCGAGCATAACATAATATAGAACGTTGGCGAAAGTTACTGGTTTAATTGGCTTGAACTAATAGTATAAGGTTTTTTAAAATCTGCAACGATAAAGAAAAAAAAAAAAAAATTAAAATTATACCTTGTAGAGATGAATTGGTTCCGGTGATACAATTCCACTGTCGGCTGGATCGGGTGTATCCCTTTGATTTGGCGTTTCTTCAAGTTCAAGAACACGAAATTCCAAGAGTTCATTTTGCTCTCGAAGTTCCGATATTTCAGCAATTAAATTCGATTCACGTTCTTCAGCGTCACGTAATTTGTCACTTAGTGCTCGTCTACTATTTTGACTGCCTCTTGTCTATAAAGAGAAAAATAAATTTTATTTATATTTTCTTTTTTAGAAAAATTTAATTTATAATTTTTATCCGTAAAATTAATTATTTAATAAATAAAAATGAATAGAAATTGAAATAAATAAAAATGAATAAAAATTGAAATAAAAAAAAAAAAATTTGAAAACTGAAATAAAAGTTGAAATCGCACCTCTTGTAAAAGTGCCTTTTCCAAATCTCGAACTTGACTTTTGGCATGCACGAGTTCACGTTGCTCCTCCAATAATTTAGTTTGCAATTCTTCGACTTCAAAAAGAAGAGATTCATAAGCCTCGCGGGTGACGCCATTTGCTTGCCATTGTCCACATCCCCCAGGTTGGGGTGAAAGTGACGATGGTGCACTCGAAAGAGCGCTGTCATCTTCGTTTTCTTCTTCGTCGTCGACTTCCGCAACTGGTTCTAATTCCAGCCATTGCTTGTAAAATTCCTCCTTTCTTTTTTTATTCGTTAACTGATCCAATTTACGTTCTTTTTCCTAAAAAAAATAAAAAAGAAACATATTTTTATAATTTATAAATGAATTTTTTTTTTAATTTTAATAAAGACTTAATTTAATTTTTTTTTTTATTAAAAACATGTTTCAAAATAATATTAATTTTTTTTAATTAAAAATTAATTCTAATGAGGGAAAAATTTAATTTTATATTAAAAAAAAAAAAATGCTAAGAAAATAGATTTTAATTTTTAAAAACTCTTTTTTTTACATTTAAGGAGAGTTTTAAGAAAAATACTACTTTCTAAATGAAGTGCAATATTGGAATTTGAATTTCCGAGCTTCATTTCCATACAAACGAGCCTGGTGTAACGGAAAAATATCATTTCCTTCGTGGAACGATTATTTTTCTTCCAATCACTGTAGTTAAAAAAAAAGAGGCTCTCAGTTTGAAAAACGAAAAAAAAACCATATAGGCAATAATATGCCACCCGTGCGCGAATGACTTACTTGTCGAGGGGATCTCAATTAAAATGCAAAACTCTCGCGCGTTAGGTCTCTTTTTCAAATCGTATTTTTATATTATGGGTCAATTTTTCTCAAATGGTCCCACAATTTTATTTATCAATTTTCCTTAAAATAGATTTTTTTTCTCAAAAATTCTATTTTGGATAATTAAAAGTGTATTTTTAATAAAAAATAAAATAAAAAAAAAATAAAACAAAAAATAAAACAAAAATTAAATAAAAATAAAATAAATAAAGTAACAGAACAAAAAATAAAATAAAATAAAATTTTTGAAAAAAGGGCCATTTTTGATTAAAAAAAAAAAAATGATTGCAAAAATGAGATTATTCTAGAATAGGAATATTAGCGAATATTTATAAGAAACTATAAAAAAAACACGAATTGGATTCTTTTTTTTTTGTGGTGTAAAAATGATTATATGAGCAACAACGATGACGATAATATGATGATGGTAAAATTACCTTGACTGCCTGCCTGAGTACCTCTATGGCCTCCTGCTGTTCGACCGCGAGTTCCCGAAGACGTTCCACCTCAGCCACAGCTTCACACTCTCTTTTACATAAATCCACCTGAAAAAATTTCCAAAAGCACTTAGCGACATGTCAACGAAAAAAAAAAAAAAAACAATCATAAATCTTAATTCGTCTGATGGTATTATTTTTTTCGAAAAAAAAAAAATTATATCTCACACAAGTAATCAGAATCATTAGATGGAAATAAAAAATCGTATTTAAATTTTTATTACGCTAAATTAACATTATACAGTGGCCTCTTGATAAGTGGCTATTACCCGCATCACAATTATATAGTTAAATTTATATGAAATTAAAATGACGTGTCTATAAAGTATTTATATATTTATATATAGGAAGTAAAAATATTTTAATAATTATTTTAACATAGGAAGTTGAATAAAATGCAGTATTTGTTAAATTTTAATATGCAGTCAAACCTGATTGAGATCTAGAGGGAGAGAGCATTTGTTGATATTAAATAAAAAAAAACTGGGAAATATATTTGTAATAAAAAGTTATTTAATTATTTTATTAATATTATTTTTATTACTATTATTACTATTATTTTATTATTATTATTTTATTTTAATATTCAGTCAAACCTGGTTAAGTGAGAATAAGGAAAAATTGATTGTAGAATTAATAGCAAATATTATTATATTGAAATTCTGTCAATTTTTTTTTTTTTTTTTAATCAACTCAAGTTCTTTGTCAATTAAATCACTTGCTGTCTCACTTTTGGGAGGTTTTATTGTATCAGACAAAATTTGCAGTATCCTTGCGATAAGTGCGTCTATCTATTTTTATTAATTCAATGAATTTTACATTATTGAAAATCATTTATTTTTGTTGTTTTTATTTATTTTACTGGTATTAAGGAAATTTACAATGTCTCACTTAATCAGGTTTTACTGTATTTAATAAATTTATCTACAGTCTAATAAGTATAATTTTAATATTATTATACTATAAAACATTATTATATTATATTACTAGTCTAAATAATTTAGTGAATTTTAAAATTACTAAAAAGATTTCTATATTTATTGTCTCACTTAATCAGGTTTTACTGTATTAGAAAAATTTATTTACAATATTCCCTCGATAAGTATGTTTATCTATTCTAATTAACTAAGTGAATTATTAAAAAAAAAAACAAAGTCTCACTTGATCAGGTTTTATTGTATTATGCGAATTGATATACAGAATCTTCGTGAAAAGTATTTATTATTACTATTATAATATTATTACTATTTCAATTAATCCAGAGAATGTTAATGAAAAGCTTTTTACTTATTGTCTCAATTAATCAGGTTTGACTGTATTGAATAATTTTTATGTCCTTCCAATAAAAAATAAACCCTTATGAAAATTCCTTATAAGAAAATAATTTCTGTAATTAAATTTTTATAATTTTAATTTTATAATATTTTAATTTTTGCACGTGAAAAAATTTTTTTTCTATAATTACATTTTCATAATTATAAAATTGTAATGATTTCATTACAGAGTCTTTAATAATTATATTTTTATAATTATTTGAGAAAAAAAATTTTATAATGAATTTCTTATAAAAAATTATCTATAATCGCGAAAATATTATACAAAAAACATAATACTGAAAACATTTCAGCTTTAACATTATTTTCTTATAAGGAATTTTCATAAGGGAAATAATAACAATAATAAATAAATTAATAATATATAAATAATAAATAATAATAATTAAAAAAATAAAATCGAAATAGAAATTTAATTTTTGATTTTACGGATAAAAAAAAAACGTTTTAATACAAAAATCTAAAAATTATGTTTATAATTGATTAAATGTATTTTTTACCTAGAAATTTAGTGATCGAGAAATTAATTTACTGTGACTATTATTTTTACATATAAGTTACATAATTGACTTTTATATAGTTCTTTAAATTTATTTATTTAGTTTTATTTCCTCATATATATATATATATTTATTATAAATTTATACTCACAGCATGTTCGCCGTTAGGAATTTTCTCCTCGATACGTGGCGCCAAACGAATCTGATGATTTCTCTCGCTCTCCCTTAATTTTCGCATCTGAAAGAAAAAGAAGAATAGAAAATTAGTTTATGATCGATCACGATATTATCTTCTTCTTCTTTTTTTTCTAATCACGTGTGATACATGTTTCTATTATAAAATATATAATAAAATAATAATATATTATATCTAGCGAAATTATCGACAGTTTCACATTCTAATCACTTGGGAGAAATGATTGATGGCTCATGGGAGAAATTTTGTTCATTACATGCACTTTTATAGTTGATGAAAGTTTTTTTTTTTTTTTTTTTTTTAATACAAACAAAGAATTTATCAATGTAATTATGAATAATTTCGAACTTTCTTTATTATATTTCTTATCAGATTTGTCAATTAATTAATAAAATAATTTTATTTTTTTTTATAGTAGGTATAATTTTTTTTTTTTATTTAGTTATAAAAAAATATAATTTTAGCGTAGGAAAAACAATTTCTTATTAATTTTGAAAAAAAAATTATAAATTAATTTTTAACGGTCATTGTCAGGGAAACAAATTTTATTTAACGCTTTGTCGATCACGGTCGATGACATTCGTGTGTATATATATATATATATATGTTCAGGGAAAGTAGTTATGAAACGAATCGTTAATTTAGCACAAAATTTCCTACATCATTTCTGAATATATCACACACATACACGAATTCTGAGAATAAAAAAAAAAGATACAAGCAATATAGACAAAAATAAAAGTTAATGCGTTACTAATGACAAGAACAGTGCGGTCTCGACCTCAAGTTTGATTATAGTGAAAGTGATTGACTTTCTCTACTTGAAAAGATGGGTATAGACATTTTTTTTTACCAAAAAAAAAATTAATTAATTCCAAATCACGAATTTATTTTTATAAATTTTCGCAAATCACTTTTTTTTATTTTCTTTAATTAATTTTTTTATTTATTTATTAATTTTTTTTTTTTAAATATAATTCTCTTTTCCGGTTGACATTAATTAAGGTACTGCCCGTTAAATTCCTCGCAACTAATCACTCAATCTGTTCCTTTCTAACTCTGCTAGGTTCTATTAATTCTTTTGACATTTATTGCTTGCAGTTCCAGGCTAAGAAAGTGTATGTACATATATATATATATATATATATTTAAGGCTTCGTGAACGTTTACAGAATATTTTATTGTTATTACTTGGTCATGATTATTGTTATTGTTCTAAAATATATATTATATTTTGTCTATTGTCTTGTTTAAATGCAATAAATTGCCTTCAAATTATCTTTGAAACAAATTTTTATATTTTTTTTCTATTTCAATTTACATTTTTTTTCAATTTCGATTGAAATTGAAAAATTTTAGTTTTACTATAGATGCAAAATAGTTTAATTTAAAAATTACCGTTTTTTAAAAAGTTGACATAAAAATTCAACATTGAAAAAAGAAAAATGAAAATCTACATTTTTACGCATCCAGAGAAATGTTTTATTTGAAATAAATATAATATATATTTGAATTAAATAAACGTATATTTGTCTCGGAGCGTAATAATTTTTTTTACACTGAAAAAAGGGTTTGGTATTGACGTTTGGTTGGTATTTAAGCAATCAAAATTTTTTTGTTGAATCAACAAAATTTTAATTGTCTCAATCAAAATTTGTTTGACACAACCAAAATTAGAAAAAAAAAAGGATTTTTGTTGTCCTAACTAAAGTTTGATTGCACTCAGAGAAATGGTATATTTGTCTCCAAGCCTACTAATTCATTTATTTGTTGCAAATATATTTTATTTCATTGAAATAAAAAATTTATTTCAGCCAAAGAAAAATTTATTTCTGACAAATAAAATTTTTATTTACGCCAAATAAATAAGTTAGTAGGCTCTGAGACAAATATACGTTTATTTAACTCAAATATATTTTATTTGGTTCAAATAAAACATTTCTCTAGCTGTGGGACAACCAAAATTTTGTTGATTCAACAAAAAAATTTTGGTTACTTAAATACCAACCAAATGTTTGGTTGTTAATACCAAACCCTTTTTTTCAGTGTAATTTGGCGTAAATAAAAATTGTATTTGTCAGAAATAAAATTTTTAATTACAACAAATAAATATTTATTTGAAACGAAAATATTTAGTGCGGCAAAAATTACTGTTCTTTAAAGTAGATATTCATTTTTTTCAGTGTATACAATTATTTAATTTATTTTTTTTACAATTATTATTTAAAATTACTATTACTTCAATTATTATTATTACTTGTTAATTATTAATATTAATATTAATTATTATTATTAATAATTTTTTTTTATTAATCATTAATCATTAAATTATTAATAATAATTTTTTTTATTAATCATTAATCATTAAATTATTATTAATTATTTATATTATTAATTAAACTGTTAATGTCCTAAAAATATTTATTATCAAAATAAAAAAAAAACAGTACCAAAAAAATTGAATAAAATTACTATTATGGTATGAATTGCATTGAATATTTCTGAATAAACAAGAGACTTTTGTGCGCGAAAAATAAGCTTAATTTGAAAATGTTTTATATATATATATATATATATATATGCGAAAATGAAAAGAGAGGTTGACGCGAATAATGCCGTGGATAGTTTATTTCAACGTATGCAATATTGTTTGAAACTTAAAGGTCAAGGTAGAAGTGCAATAAGAGAGTGGATTCTTACACACATACATTATCTTTGCAAGTAAAACTCGTTTGCGGGTTATATGCCATATGATAGAATGATGATTTAGTGTTCTTGAAAATATACGAAGGGAAATCTTTTGTTTGGACTAAAAAAAAAAAAAGGAAAAGAAAAAATTAAGGGCTTTAGTTATATAAAATACAAGGTAGCAAGCTTCCATTTCGTTATACTGACATTTATCTGACGTCATAAATATATACAAATATATAGATGTCTGCCAAATATTATTATTATTACATAAAGCATAATTTTACTAAAAAAATTTACGAAATTTTTCAAAATCAGAAATTATTGGTTCAAATATAATTTATATATTTAATTCAAGTAAATATTTATTTTGTTCAATTAAATATTTATTTGATAGTCAAATATTTCTAATAAGTTTTTAATTCAATTAATTTTTTTTTTGCAATTTTTTTTTTTTTACATTAATATATTTCTCTAATATTTTTTTATAATATAGAAATTACATTGTATGAATATGGACCTACTTTTAATGCGTCAATTTCTTTGTTTTCTCGAAACTAGGCTAAAGTGGAGCTTTCACTCCTTACAGTGTATATATATATATGTGTGTAATGACTTCATGTCTACTACTCTCAGGAAATGGCATAATAGGAATGCGTATTAATGTTATTCGACATAGCATATATATACTTGCATCACAGATCTTGATTTACTATATTGCGGCTTAGCCTCTCTAAGAATGCAATTTTAATCTTGACAATTTTGAACTTTTCATAAAAATTGCGATATTAAACAATTTTTACAATATATATGATAAATTTTTCATAATTTCTATTATATAATCATCTATTATTTTTATTATATATTGAAATCAAAAAAAGATATATATTTTTGTTTAGATAAATATCGAGAGATTTATTTCTCAAAATCATAATGTTAAACTGAAACCTCACCTGTGAAAAAAAAAAAAAAAATTATCATAAACCTGACTCATAACTCAAAAATGAGGGCTTGTTCATACAATATATATATATTTTACTGAACACTCCCTAATATTTGCATTATAATTTTATTTTTGTTTGATTATTCAAAATTTAAATTATATTATTATCTCGTCAAAAAGAAAAATTTGATCGCTATTTTTGATTTCGAATAATCGACTATATTTACAGAGGGAATATTTTTCTTCACTGAGAATTTTCTTGAAATATTCTAAATTATCTGGAAGTATTTAAAGTATTTAAAGTATTTTGAATTAATTGAAGTGTAATGAATTATCTCAAGTTATGTAAATTATCTAAAGTAACGTAAATTATCTAAAGTTTCGTCAAATATCTTGAAGTATCTTAAAATACCTTAAAATATCTTAAAATACCTTAAAATATCTTAAAATACCTTAAAATACATTCAAATACCTTATAATACCTTAAAATACTGTAAATTATCTTTAAATATTATAAAATATTCCGAATTCACAGAAAATTAAAAGGCATTAAAATAAGCTGCAACGCTTCTTATTTTAATCCAATTTTGCTTATTTTAATCCATTTTGGTATTAAAATAAGCAAAATTGGATTAAAATAAGAAGCGTTGCAGCTTATTTTAATGCCTTTTAATTTTCTGTGTTATTTAAATTATCTGAAATAAAGTGATTTATTTGGAGTATCCTAAATTATCTGAAGTATCGTGAAGTATATTAGAAAATAACTAGAAGTACAGGGAAATATTTAAAAATATTCGGAATTATCTTAAAGTATTTGAAGTATTTTGATTTATCTAAAATATCCTGAATTATCTGAAGTATTCGAAAATATCTTGTAGTACACTCTGAATTATTTAAAAATATTTCTAATTGCCTCAAAGTATTTGAAATATTTGAAATATTTGAAGTATTTGAAGTATTTTAAATATTTTAAATTATCTCAAGTATCCGGAATTATGTGAATTTTCTTAAAATATTTTAAAGTATCCTAAATTATTCAAAAAAATATTTTAAGTATTTTGAATTATTTGAATTATTTTAAAATATTTTGAAATATTTTGAATTATATTGAAGTATTTCAAGTACTTTGAATAATCCTAAATTATCTTCAAGTATTTTACTTAAATGAATTATTTTGAATTATCCTGAAGTATCTGGGAATAACTTGAAGTATACTGAGAATTGTCTTGAATTATTTTGGATTATCTTGAAGTATTTTTGAATTATCTAAAGTATTTTGAAGTATTTTGAAGTATTTTAAAGTATTTTGAAGTATTTTGAAGTATTTTGAGGTATTTGAAGTATTTTGAATTGTCTGAAGTATCTTCCAATTATTTTAATTATTTCAATTATATTAATTATTTTGAATAAC